CCAAGACTTTTAGTAGAATTCAGGAGTCTGTTTCCCAGAGCCAGAAGAAGCAGCAGAATCCTGTTCTTTGTGGGAGAGCAAGACAACTGTGAACTCTTAAAAGACAAAGGCTATTCAATTAGGACTCATTTTTGGCCCTGATGGGGTTATGAATCCACAGAAACCTCTGCCAATCTCTGAGTCTGCGAGTAGCACCCACCTGACCTGTTTACTGAGAGCAGAGTCCAGAGCAGAGGACAAGAGAGAAGGAGCCACAGCTTGTGATCAGAGGGCAGCAGGGCTGAAAGAATCTTGCTAAGTATACTTGACACTAAATAGGGTTAGAGATTAAGGGGAGGAGGCTATACAACCAGGGCAGAATCAGTTCAGCCCAACCTCAGAGTCAGTATCTGTCAAATGGGCACAAGTAGTAGGGATTCTGGGATGGGGCCTCCTACACCCATTTAGGGAGTCAGGCCCAGGTTTCAAACTGACACCTTCCTTCATGCCTGTTATGCTCAGGAGCAGTGCAGCAGAGCCCCGCGAGAGGCTGTGAGCGTAAGAGCCTCCATATGTGGTCCTGCTCACATCTCGATCATCCTCTTCTCCAGCCCACCTTTGCTCCTGAGAGAGCCCGCAAGCAGCAAGTCAGAGATGCTGCCTCACCGCCCACTGGCGCACAGCCTCAGGGAAATGGAGGAGGGGGAGGACAAACAAGGACCAGGTCAAGGGGGGGCCCAAGGTTTCCAGACCTACAGGATCTGGTCCCAAGGGAGGGAGAGGCGAGCCAGGCTGGCAGAGGAACCCAGGTGCCCAGGTTCTAGGGCGGAGCCTAAAGACTCGGAGGCGGAGCCCCGAATGACAGAAGGCGGGACTCAAGAAAACTGGTGGGGGACGGGGCGGGGCCAGGCAAGAAGCGGTCGTTGCGGTTCCCTGGCTGGCAGTGCACGGGGCACGGTGACTCACCCAGGCAGCGTCCACCCGACCCTCCGAGGCCGCGCTCTCACCACTTCCGTCTCCCGCAGCTGCGGAGACCGCGCAGCTCCGACCCCACCACAGCGCCCCTCTCCCCAACCAATGATATCGCTGGTCTGTGCCCGCCCTGGCCAATGGCCACACCAAGTCCCTCCCTGCCCCCATCACGCAGCCGCCGCCCTCACTCTCCACGCCACTCATTGGTCGAGTAGAGCAGACGCCCTCCCAGTCTTTAGCCTATCGGGTGACGGAAGACGAGACTGTACCTGGAGGGAGGAGGTGCAACGCCGGAGGGAGACGCGACCAATGGGAAATCACAGCGCGTCCCTGCGGCAGCCAATGGGAGAACAGTAAAAGCGGGACGGATGGCTCCTGCTCCGGGGACCGGAAGTGGTGGCGGACGGTCTCTTACTGGTAGCGCATTGGAGGCGGGCAATGTAAGGGCAAAGTCTTACAGCCACTTCCGGTGACAACCCCGCCCCGGAGGCATTTCTCAAGTCGATCCCCGGAGCACCTCAGTTTATCCATCCAGTTTTGGTTTCGCTGCGGTCATCAGGTCCCAACGCCAGAATGGGAGAAACCTTGCAGGCTTGGAGAGCCGGGAGGGCTGGGCTTGAAACTCTGCCTCGGTCTTCTCCCGACCGGGGTTCCCCTTTCCAGTGTCTTGACAGGTCCTCTAACCCTCTTATCAGCAACGTCCCTGCCGTCCTTCATAACCTGCCTTGTACAGCCAGCCCTGAACAAAGATCTCTTACTCGAGAGAGGAATCCTAGGTCGATCTGAGAGCCTGTACTAGTTTGCGGCAGCAACCTAGGTCCCAAGGCAAGGGGAACAGGACGCTCGCAAGGATTCAGCTCTCCTCGCCCCTCCCTTTCCCCGCCCCCCTCGGAGGTAGCGGGGGAGGGGACTCAGAGCAGGCAGTAAGACGGAGGGTGGCCGCTGGAGGTCGTGGTGGCCCCGTGATACCACTAACCCGACAGACATGGAGAACTGTTGATTGCGAATCTCAACAGAGAGCCTCAGCTATCTGGGCCTGAACACTTTCCTACCAGGTCCCTGGGCTGAAGTGTCTTAACGTGTTTTTTTTTTGTTTTTTGGGGGTTTTTTTGGAGAGGATTTTTCGCTATAGGGCGCGTGCACTCGCCAGATAGAGACAGAGAGATAGAAAGCGAGAAATCACCCCTCAGGGGGGATGGTCACGCCACAACCCCTTCTCCTCCATTCCCTTGGGATCTTGGGCATGCACGCACACGCGCCTCGCGTGAGTTTTAAGCCACTGGGTCCGGGATGCAAACCGCAGTCGACTACGTGGGAGTCCAGCCATGCTAACTGCTGGTTCCCTTCACGTGTTCTTGTATATGGATCACTGGAACTTCTAGTAAAGTTAGCAGGTTCCAGGAAAACGGGAAACTTGCCTATGTTCACTACTTTTAACTCCAGGATCTAGAGCAGTCTGCAACCTAGCAGATTCTCAACATTTGATTGAGTATTTAACTCCTCCAAGATAATGGCTGCGCCTTTATTCTCAGCACGTACTGTAATGTTGGTGATTACAGGGCCTCTGGCATTTTTTCAATGCTCTGTCAGGCTTCCTAGAGTGCAGAGCTAGATTCTGCTTATCTCTTTCCCCAGATTAGGGGACATAGGAAGTCAGGTGGTCGCATGCAATTAATATTTTGTTTCCCCAAAGGGAAGTATTAGACCCAAAACTGCTACAAAATTGAAGGTACTAAATGTGGGAAGAATAAAGAGCAGTCCAGGCCCCAGATAATAGAGACAGGATAGATAATGGTCATGAAGACAGAGAAACCAGGGCTGGCTCAGTAGTATAGCAGTGATGCACTGCTTAAAAGAAGCCAGGTCCTACATGGCAACCACAGTTCAAATCCGCTGCCTGGTCAGCCTGAAACATGCTGGACATGCGCCTGAGTGCCCAGGGTCTGGAGAGAGAAGATCACAGAGGGCTGAAGGACTCTTAGACTGGAGGAAGAGGATCTCCCTTGACCAGACCCTGCGGAGGGTCTCTCTCTCTCTCTCTCTCTCTCATGCATGTACACAAGCTCTATTATGAATAGAGAGGTGAGGGTGGAGGGGATAAGGTTCTGGTTTAAAAGTTGTAATGCATTTTTTAAAAGAGAGAGGGGCCATGCTGGATTCTCAACAGGGACTGAACACTGTCATGGAAGGGGAAAGTTTCTCCCACTTTCCCTTCCCTAAGCCAGAAATCATCCTTCTCCTCCCTCAACCTGTCAAATTTTGATCCTAAGTCACCTAGGCCTTGGTCACCAGAGGAAGTAAAGACACAGGTAAGGTACAGACAGGGACACCAGAAAGCACCTATAGATTTATTAAACTTTATTTCCTCTGAGTCTCTGGGGAGGCAGCAGGGATGTAAGGCGAAGTGGCAGTAGCTGCAGGGGCCTGAGCAGAGGTGGTGCTGGAAGAGGCCGGCATGGGCAGGAAGAGATTTAAATATCCAGGGCTGAAAGCCAGTTAATGGGTCTCCTTCATCTGTCTTTGGATTTTGTGTAGCATCTCCTGCATCCGCCGCAGCTGGAATAGCACATGCGTGAAAATGGGGCTTTGCAGAGTCCTACAGTACTGGACTATAGTATTCAAATCCCTTAAACCAGGGCTTTAATCACTTGGAGGTATGATGGGGATTCTGGGCAGAACCACCAGCTGGCCAACCCAGGACCCAGATGTACACCAGTGTCTTTCTATTCCCAGCCAGAGATACTAAAGTTTGTTTCTGATCAAACAGGGGACCTCCCGAGCTGTCAACCCCTACCCCCACACTGTTCTCACCTCCTCATCTTTCTCTCGGATCAGCTTCTCAGTTTCTGGATCTGTCCCTGGTGGGACAGCAGGGATGGGAAAGTCGGTACCACTCTCTCGAGTCAGTTTGCTAAGGGCAAGGGGAAAGGAGGGTTGATAAGACTAGGGGGACCCAAAACTTGTTTGGATTGAGCCCAGGGCCAACGAGAGAGCAAAGGAAGGGCTTGGTCTCACCCAAGGCTATACGTGGGACCCCCCTGTCAGCTTGTCCTGGCTTCTGGTCATACTTGCGATTCCGCTCCTTCACCACCAGGCGGGTCATGCTCTGGATGCACTGTGCCCGGTAGTTCTCATAGTGTGTCTCCCGTGTCACATCCTTCAGGTCCTGCATGTGGGTACGCACCAGCATTGTCCTCAGCTTCACAAAGTCGCAGTGCCCTGGGTTTTCCACTGTATAGCAAGGCTAGGGGTCAGCCAGGGGCATGGGTAGAGGAAGCTACTGAGGGCAAGGAGATACCCTGGTCACGAGCTCAGTGCTTTACCTTCCACAATTCCCCAGGGATAGAGGCGGCCTCGAACACGCCGCCCTCTCGCTTCTACCACAGTGTTGCTGCCAATTACTGCAAATGGGATGCTTTCCTGGAAGAAGTGAGGGGTGCCTGTCAGCATCCCCCATTTTCACCTATTCCTTTCTACTTATATCTTCATCTTCTCTGCTTCACTCTAGAAAGCTATGATCCTCTCCCACCCCAATATCCTGCCCCCTTTAGAGAACTCTACTCCCCTCTTCTGCCCAAAAGAAAATGAGAAACATTTGTTCTGGGGTGACCCCACCTTTAGAGCTTGGTCCTGTAATTTGAAGTCCTCATCCTCATCAGAGTCACAGTCTGGGAACTGATAGATTTTGATTCCAAAGCGCTCAATCTCCTCTCGGATCTGGCAAACAGATGAGGGGCCCACAGTTCTGGGGACCCCATCCTTTCTGAAAGCCCACCTGATCCCCACCCCCTACCAGCTTCCCTCACTTTGCGTTTCTTGCGATCCACTTCAGGAGGTGTCAGCGTGTCTGCCTTGGCCAAGATAGGCACGATGTTGACCCGCTGATGCAGGGCCTTCATGAATTCAACATCCAATGGCCGGAGCCTGGGGAACAGGAATCTGTGATCACCTCCTAGTGGCAGCCCTGCCCCTGGTGCTCTTGGCCTGTTCCCTTGGCAGCACCTGCTGGTGCCAGGAGCCTCAGGCTCGGACCATACCCGTGGCCGAAGGGTGAGATGAAGTACAGGCAGCAGTGCACCCTGTTGTCTTGGATGTTCTTGCGGTTCAGGCCACTCTCGTCTCGGAAATACTGCTCAAACTGCTGGTCGATATATTCTGCCACAGGCTTCCAGCTGGGCAGGGACAGACAAGCAGAGAAACCATGGGAGTGTGGGGGCTGCTGGTGAGCTCTAGGACTGCAGAGAAGTAGTCCAGGCCCTGAGCAGTGTGTTCAAAACACCATTATTCCTGGCTTGCTTTACTATTTAATATGTCTTCAGGGAGGTACCTAGTACCTAGATAGGATGGGGTGGATCTCACATGTTCTGGAAATTAGACTCAATGCACAGGCAGAGGTCAATAAATAGTAGTTTGATGCAGGGAAAAGGGCCCAGGTGACTAAACGAAGCATTCAGAACAGCAAGATGGCTGTGGACTAACACCAATTAGAAGTCAGGGAAGCCCCAAGTTAGGTTCACAGTCCAGCCTAAGAGCCTTTGCTCATGCGGTTCCATCTTCCCCTACACCTCTCCAAACCACCTCCATTCTTTTTTTGTTTTTGTTTTTTTGTTTTGTTTTGTTTTGTTTTGCTATAGGGCACGTGCACTCGCCAGACAGAGAGAGAGACAGAGAGATAGAAAGCGAGAAATCACCCCCCCCGGTGGGGGGATGGCCACACCACAATCCCCTTCTCCTCCATTCTCCTCTTGGGATCTTGGGCACGCACGCACACGCGCCCGGCGTGAGTTTAAGCCACCGGGTCCGGGACTCGAACCACGGTTGACTATGTGGGAGTCCAACGACATAGCCATTATGCTAACTGCTGGTCCCACCCCCTCATTCTTCAAGGCCCTCTCCAAGAACCATCTCTTCCATGAAGGCTCCTTTGACTATACAAGGCACACTGCTCTCCCCTCTTCACCACAAAGCAAAATAAAATTTTTCCAAGTATCTTAATGTTCAGGTCCTTTGCTCTTCTATAATCTAGTTTAATCCTCACTGCCTCGACAGGTGGACTTTATGCATCATGAGCTTCATCAACTCTCGTTTTTATTTTTAGTTCGCTAGAGGGTGTGAGCACTAGCCAAAGAACAGAGAACAGTGAGAGGGAAAGAAACAGTGAGAGGGAGCATACCCTATGAGGGAATGGTAATATTGCAATCCCTTCTCCATTTACCCCTCCTTTTGGGATTTTGGGCTCATGTGGACATGTACCCCACATGTTTAAGCCACTGGGTCTGGGACTCAAACCACAGTTGACCCTGTGGAATCCATCTCAACCACCAGCCATGGACTGGTCCTATCATCATACTCATTTTATACATGAAGACTAAAGCCAGACCAGCTAAGAGACACCCTCTAGATCATTAGCTGGTAAATTCTCTACCCACCTGAGTCCCTGGCCTTTGAACTCATAGCTCAGTGTTTGCCTTGACACATTGCCTGATCTATTTACTAATTTGTTAACTGACTGACATACTTAGTTAAAGAACTGCTCCCTCCTCCACTGCCACAAGATGGTAAGTTTTGCAGGGATGGAGATAATTCACACTTATTCTGCCTCCCTTAAAATGCACGGTACAAGGTGGATACCTAGTATGTAAATCAATAAAGTCTTCCTGATTGACTAAGTGACTATAAATGAAGGTCCACTGTAAACTGTGAAGGGCAAGCTAATGAAATTGTTATTATTTTGGAAGGCAAGAGGAGGTAACTAGATTAATTGAAGGCGAGAATAGTACTTGCTACAGTAGGAACCGGGTACTGGTTGGGACTAGAATTTCAGGGCAAGCCCAGTTTGCTGAGACATACTCCTAGAGAAGGATAGGTGATGATGATATGGATGCCACCTCAATCCATAAGAAATATTGTTGGAAACCAAGGGTCATAGACTAGCATAGAATCATGGCAAGAAAATGTAAGAAATGGACCCCCCTGGGACTAGCAGTTAGCGTAATGGCTATGTCGCTGGACTCCCATGTAACCGACCGCAGTTCGAGTCCTAAACCTGGCGGCTTAAACTCATGCCGGGCACATGTGTGTGCATGCCCACGATCCTGAGAGGAGAATGGAGGAGAAGGGATTGTGACATGGCCATCCCCCCTGGGGGGGTGATTTCTCGCTTTCTGTCTCTCTGTCTCTCTGGCGAGGGCACACACCCTATAGCAAAAAAAAAGAAAAAAAAGAAAAAAAATGGACCTCCCTTCAAGGCCTGGACTATGAAGCTGAAAATGAACTTGTCTGCTGAGCCGAAAGTCACATATTGTAATAAAGCAAGGATGAGGGTTCAGAGAACAGAAAGGAATAGAAGGGTTTGATTAGTTTGTGAAGCAATCATCCAGTCATGGGAATGTGACCTGAATAGTTACACCAGGGTCCTGTACCCAGAGGAGCCCATGCCTGGTTTGATGCTCTGCTGTCGCCACCTTGAAGTTCTTGATAATTTTGAGCAAGGAGCTCCACATTTTTATTTTGCACTGGATCTCATAAGTTATGTAGCTACTCTCACAATTAACATTGTTAAAATTTGTGACTGTGGGACCAGCAGTTGGCATAACGGCTATGTCGCTGGACTCCCACGTAGTCGACCGCGGTTCGCGTCCCGGACCCGGTGGCTTAAAACTCACGCTGGGCGCGTGTGCGTGCATGCCCAAGATCCCGAGAGGAGAATGAAGAAGGGATTGCGGCGTGGCCATCCCCCCTGGGGGGTGATTTCTCGCTTTCTGTCTCTATGTCTCTCTCTGTCTGTCTGGCGAGCACACGCGCCCTAGAGTGAAAAAACCTCTCCAAAAAAAAAAAAATTATGACTGTAATATAAATAGCTTTTTATAGTTTTTAATGTATATGCATCATTCTGGGTGATTTTCAGATCAATTGGACAAGGTGGTAAGGGCTGCTATTTTTCAGTGGAAGAAATAGGAATGCAATTATCTGCACAAGATCATACCGTTATGGGAGGTCAGCAGGTAGCATGGTGGTTAAAGTGCTTGACTCCCACATGGCCAATGGCGGTTCAAGTCCTGGACCTGGTGGCTTGAAACTCATGTTGGGCACATGTGCGTACATGCCCAAAATCCCAAGAGGAGGATGGAGGAAAAGGGACTGTGGCATGGCCGTCCCCCCTCGGAGTGATTTCTCACTTTCCCTCTCACCATCTCTCTCCATCTCTTTTTGGTGAGTATATACGCTCTATGGCAAAAACCTTAAATAAATAAAAGATCATGCAATTAGTAAATACTAGTCAAATCCAAACTTTCAGGCTGTCTCTGTAGCCCGGCAGTTAAGGAAAATAGATTCTATATGATTGACTGTGGTTCAAGTCCCAGCCTCAGCAGTTTGAAGGAGTCTCCAGGCACATGTGCATTTGTCCCAGAGGCCCAAAGGGATGAAGTAACGGAGAAGGCACTGCAGTGTGACTGTGCTTCACTGGGGACAGTCTTTCTCTCTGGATCTCTTGGCAAGTGCACATGCCTTCTGGTAAGTTAAAAAAGAAAAAGAAAAAAGAGCTGAACTCAGTTTAGGGCTCTCAGCCCCACCTTCATCAAAGGCATCATCTTTTCTCCTCTTTATCTCATCCATTTTCTTCCTCATCTACTCACTTAAGTCTAACCATTACCTAAACATCCCTCCAGTTCTCAGAAGACAAAAAGCCAAAGACAGTGTGGGGTGAGACAAAGCCACCTTTTCTTCTCACCGATAGTACAGAAGGTGCCTAAATAAAGTTCCACTCATTTTTTTTTTCTCACTTTGCCTCTTCTTTCTTCCCTTTGTGTCTCTTTTTATTTACTCCCAACCCTTCAAGAAGACTTCGTAGCACCTAAAATGTTGCTGGTGAAAGGAAAGGAAGGAAGGAGGGAGATGTTTGTTGATCACCTACTGTGTGTCAGTTCCTGTTTTCTTTTTTGATTTTCCATTTTTACCCCATGTCTCCACTCCCATTAGTGACTTCTAGGTCAGAGTTGGAAGGAACATTAAAATAGTCTATTCTAGGGGCTAGCAGGTAGCGTGGTGGTTAAAGATGTTGAATTCTCACATGGCTGACTGTGGTTTGAGTCCTAGACCTAGTGGCTTGTTTTCTCACTTTTTCTTTCTCTCTCTTGCTCTTTCC